TCCACTCAAGGTCACACCACTCCTCACCGGGCAAGCAGAAACTCCGCCAGCTGTTCTTACCATCAGACCCCTGAGGGTCACTGCCACAGAAGGAGAAGGAAGGCACCATCTCTGGTTCTTCTAGGCCCAACAAACCAGAAGTGAGATGTATAACAAAGTACTAGTGACAATAAAACGTACTGGTTTCCTCTCTAACACATAGCATCCACGTGCTCCCATGGCAAGAACCCAGGTGCAGAGGCATCACTGCTCAGGAGACACCAATTCTAGACTCAGCTCTGCCACAAACAAGCTGTGTGACCTTGGTCAAAGCTCTTAACCTCTCTTGGCCTCAGTTTCATCATTTGTGAAGCAAAGACAATAACTGCTGCCTTGATGACCTCACAGAGTGGTTGTGAAGTTCAAATGAGCTAACCAAAGAGAAATTCTATGAAATAATGGTGATAAGTACTCTACAAAACATTAGACATTATTGTTAGTCTCTAGTCAAGTTATTTAGCTGAAAGGCCACATAAGAGAGCCATGGCTTTGGAGTATGACAACTTGGGTTTGAATCCTGGTTCCTACACTTATTAGCTGGGCTGTTATCCAACCTCCCCAAACCTCAGTTTGTCCACTGGTCAAATGGGAATAACAATACATACCTAAATGTTTTTGTGAAGATTAAATGAGATAATATACTAAAACACCCAACCCAGTGCGTGGCAGTCTCGTGTCCAATACATGGGTAGACACCATAATTACTGAAAGGGTACCTGATCTGAGACTGGGCCCATCTGCAGCATGGCTCTCAGCAGTCATTGCTACTGCTGCAAGGAGCTATCCATGTCCCCCGTGGCCATGTTAGGATGGCACTTAGCATGTCACCCTGAACTATGGATGGACTCCTTACCCAGGCGGGCCCTTTAAAGGTTCCTTTGGTCCCCTCCAATCTGAGGAGCAAACCCCAAGAGGCGATGACCTCCTTCCTTCCAGAGAACTCGTAGATGGAAGTCTCTGATTTTAGGGTCAGGAGCAGAAGAGGGCAGTGGGGAGTGGCACACACTGTCCTCTCTGGGCTGCCTCCCCATACAAATCAGCCTAACACCCTGAACACCTGTCTCTGTCATGTCCTAATAGCGTATTATCAAGGTGCTGTGAGAAAACAGAAGCAGGAATGACTAGCTTAACTTCAGGGCCAATGTCAGCACACAGAGATGTCCCCTCTGGGCAGATGAATTATAAAAATGTGCTCCTTCCATCCAGCCCACGGCCTGACAAGTAACATAGACTGGACTTCAGCCCCAGCTCACGTGCTCAGTGAGGCACCCCTGGACGGGGCACCAGCAGAATGACCATCCATAGTGGTCCTGCTCACCGGGTAGAGCTGAAAAAGCCCTCTCAGAGGCTATGTCTTTTGAGCCAGGTGTTGAAGGATGAATACAAGTCCAGTAGGCAGGTGGGATGGAAAAGAGCACCCCAAGCAGACAGGACAGGAGTATGGGCATCACAGCTTTGGGAACTGGCCAAGCCACTATTACTAAGAAGACACTGATTCTCCACCCAGCTCCATCCCATACAAGGCGTGACCTTGCGCAAAGCACTTAACTTCCCTGTGCATCAGCTCCACGTGTGCCAAGGAGGGATAAGAACAGGCTAATTACATGACGCATGTTGGAGAAGGGAAGGAGGTGAGGCCAGAGGAGAGGCTAGGCCCAGACTGTTGAGAGCATTTTCTGCAACACTAAGGCCTTTAGCCTTCATTCTGCGGGTACTATTTTTTCACAAATCGCCTTGGCGGTGCATGGAGAAGAGACTGGCCTGAGGAACAGTAAGGGCTGTGGGCAAGCAGACCAGTCAGAAGATGAGCAAGGAGGGAGCCTGGACAGAAGCAGCTCTCCCTCCATCCCCTCCTCTGTACCTCTTGCCACTCCCCTTGTAGGACACTCATGTCCCTGCCTCAGTGGATCAGGTATGTATAGCAGAGGTGAGGAAACAGAGCCTGCTGTGGGGCCAGGTGAGGAGGAGGAAGAACGTCTGCAAAGTGCCTATCACGGAGATTGCAGTCAATGAATGACAGCTATTTTTATCATTAAGAGACCTAGAGAAGCCAATGGGAGAAGAGAGATGAAATGAGAGAAAAAGAAGGGGAAATGAAACGAATGGGGTGAGGCAGGGAGCAAATCCGAGTTTATCAAAGCCTGAGGGCCGTCCCACCGTAACCCTGAGGAGGTCCCAGGCCACACCTGCTGCTTTCTGAGGCTCCCTGAGTAGCCTGCTTGTCAGACTAGAGTCTCTAGAGTCTGAACAAAAGGAAAAGCCCAGAGAAAGACCCAAGTACCTATAACTGTCCGGCACAAGGTAAAAGTGGATTTCTTTTCAGTGGTGAGAGGATAGATTCATCAATGGATGCTGCTACAGCGACAGGTTATCTGTACAGGGGAAGTCAATTAGATCCCTATCTCACGCCACACACCAAAATAAATTACAGCTAGAAAAAGGACTTAAATGTAAAAATTTAAACTGAAAAAGAATAGAAAAAATAAAGGTGCATATATCTCAGGGAGGGAAGGCTTTTCTAAATATAAAGCAAGAAAAACACAGAAACATTTCAAAGGAAAGACTGTCCAAGCTTATAAAAAATATATTTATGTATGTCAAAAATTACTATAATAAAAACAAAAGTAATTGATAAACCGGAAAAAGGTTTTCTGTATGTCAGAGAAAAGGTTGGTATCCTTTTTACAGGAAGATTTGTACAGTGCTAAGAAAAAATTAAAGCCTCAACAGAAAAAAATGGAAAAGTAATAATAACAGCTAATATTCACAGAGTCCTTATGATGTACCAACACTGTGCTAGGCACTTTAAATGTATTATTGCGTTTCAACCTCACAACCCTCTGATACTATTCCCTACATGAGAAAACTGAGGCTGTTACTCGCCAAAACCCCACAGCTGACTCTGGAATCTGCCCGACTCCAAAGGCTGCTCTTAATTACACTCTGCTTCAAATAAAAAAGAAGAACTATAAATGGTCAGAATATATATATATTCAGTATATAGACAGATTCATCAATGTGTGTGTGTGTATATATATATATGTACATATATACCTTAAAATTTACTAGTAATCAAAGACCATTATAATTTTGCCTATCAGATTGACAAAGTTTTCTAAATGACAAAATCCAGTGGTGGGAAGGGGTCCATAAACTGGCATTCATCCCACCTCTGGTGGGTGTGCAAATTGGAACAACCCTTCTAGGTGCTAATTTGGAAATATTTAACAAAAGCCTGTGGAAAGATTCACATCCTTTGTGTCAGACATGCTCCACCCCCTCCATATCCACTCTCCACCTTTCTCTACCCTGCCCTCTCGGGAGACTAACCCAGTGAATTACATCAACAGGCCACATCCCTGCTTCCTAACAGGACTCCTGGACAGAGGCAGGGGAAGGGAGAATGGTGGGGACCCTGGCAGGAGACGAGAGGAGTGGAGGCACGGGATTTACTCTCCTGGTTTCCCCCTTGTCGGGTCACTGCTCTCGTCAGGGCCACCTGCTCTCCACCACTCTATCTCTGCAGGTTCCTTTCATCCATCCCACCCTGTGTCCCTCTGGGTGTAGGGGTGCTGAGTGCTCTGCTGCCGCTGGCCCTGGATTCCTCTGTGGTTCGCTTGTCCCCTGCACATACCTTTGTAAATTCATGCCCTATAAATAAACCCTCCTTGGATTATCTTAATTTGATTGTGTCTTCTGTTTCTGGGTGGGATGTTGATTGATACATCTTCAGACCTAGCAATTTCATTCTAGAAATTTATCCTAAGGAAACAATCAAAAAAGTGCAAAAATATATAAGGATATTTGTAGCAGCATTAAAACTGGAAACAACCTAAATATTCAATAACAGGGAATTGGTTTCATACATATGATGATCCACATGATGAAATACTACATAGTCATTAAAAATCAGGTTATAAAAGAATATTTAATGATGTAGAAATACATTTATGAAATATTTTAAGTGAAAACATTATGTCCCCTATGATTCTAATTTTGCATACAAAAGTCACCTCAGGGATGTATCCCAAGCTATTAGCAGTAATTATCTTTTAGTTGTGAGATCATGGGTGGATTTTATTTTTTTCTTTGTATTGTTTTTGTATTTTTCATATTTTCTACAATTTTCATGTATTATTTTTATAATTACAGAACATAAATACAAAATATTATATATTTTAAAAAGAAAAATTAGGGTTAAATTCTGTAACACCCCACTCCCGTGTGCGCGTGCATGCACACATACAATCTGACAGCTTAACATTTACAGATGGGCTCCTGCTGGCGGAGAACATGTGCACAGCTGCTGTAGTGAGAAGCACCGTGAGCACACTCTGTCGCATCTGTGACCAGCCCCTGCTCTGCACATTCTGGCTGAGTGTCAGCCTCAGGCTTGCTTTGGGCCACACATGTTCGTCAGGCATGCTCTGAGACCCAGAAACCAGCTCTGGTGCATGACTGAGGGAAGGGCAATTAGAATGCCTTGATCGGCGGTCAGAGAGACCTAAGGAGGGACACAGGATCTGCTGACCTCCAGGAACCTTCAACAGAGACAATACAGCACAGGAGGGGAAAAACCAACCAAATAAAACCCTAGACCTCGGAATGATCTAGGCTTGAATCATGAGTGAATGTCTGAACAGCTGTGTGACCTTAGGCATGCTTTAACCTCTCTAAGCTTCAGTTTTCTCATGTTTAAAATGGGGATAATATTATTTATCTCACAGGCTATCAGCATTATACTGAATTATATGAGCACAGAATACTCAGTAAACAGGGGTGAATATTAAAGAGAAAAGGGCCTCCTTAGCCAATCAGACACTGGGAGTCCCGGAGACTTGGCTCTGCTGTGCATGGACAGCCACAGGGTCAGAGCTGGGGGTGGCAGGGGGGGAGGATGTGACTCGAAACACCAGCTGCAATCAGCACATACTCTCAGGTTCTCAGGTGAGAAGAGCTACCTGCAGTGGGTCCCAGGTCCAGACTTGAGTCATTTAGCTCCTCCTCCTCTTCCCAGAAGTACTGTGGCGGCTGCAGAATGCGGGACTCTTCGCTCTCTTCGCTGGAGAAGCCCGAGCCAGGGGCTCCCAGGCCAGCTCCCAGCCCCATGGCCTCACTGGGCTCCTCCGAGTCCAGCGGCTCCAGGCCAGTGGGCAGCAGGAGGTCCAGTAGGGAGGTGGAGGTGAGGCCCTCTGGGCCAGGCTCATCAGACCCAGCTGTGCATGTGCCCAGGGACACTCCTGCACAGACACAAAAGCCAGAAGGTTAGGAGAAGCTGGAGGGAACAGAACGGCACAGAGTTAAGACGTGTCTCCAACAACAAAGAACCCAGGGTTGGGGGTGGGGGCTTCAGGGGATGCTCTCAACACCGAGGGGCTGCAAGGGGATTCTGAGATGCCGTTCTCATTTCAAAAAGGCCAAGCTGCTTTGCCCTGCCTGTGGCAGGGGAAAAGGGGAGACAGAGAGAGACAGCCAGGAGAGAGTGAGAATTGACCAACTCAGCATCCGCTGGGCATTTGCCCACTCAGAAACGTCGACTGAGTACTCATTCTTCACCACAACTGTGCTAGGTGCTGGGGGCACAAATGCAGTAAAGACGAGCTCCCTGCTTTTAAGGACCTTGTGTAGACACTGTTCCCCAGGCTTCTATCCTCGGCTGAAAATTTTCCAAAACTGCATTAAGAACATGATTTGTATTTCAGCAATTCAGGATCCTAAACACAGTCTTTAAAAACCACGTGAGGTCACAGGTCAAACTCATCCAGTGTTGGTAATAACATGTTTGTTTACAATCTTGGATCCCTCTCTCCTAATTTCAAACAAATAAACAGAAACAAATTAAACAGCATCTTTTTATCCTCCCTCCCACTCCCATTCACTAAGAATAGGAATACAGCCCTATTTGCAGGTTTCACAACTTAGTTTACTAACTTAATTACACGAATATTACCAACTTGTTATATGTCCTCCTGAAAGTTGCCTCTGGGTCTCAGTCTCCTCATCTGAAACATGAGGAAGGTGGATGAAATGACCTCCAAATTTTCTTTTCCAAGACTAACATTTGATGAAGCAGGAAAGAGGGAACTTCAGGGGTTACTTCCTGCTCTACCCATGCCGTGCACTGTGACCTGGCTTGACAGTAGTTCATGAAAACTTCAGTGATGTTTATAATAAAAATAAGAGCTAACATTATTGGTGCCATGTGCTAAACGCTTTGCAAGCTTTATATGAATTTTAATCCTTACAACCACCTCATGAAGTATCAGGCCATTGGTTTGGCGTGTGCCAGCACAGCGACTGGCCCTGAAGAAAACAGGGGCATTGCAGACTCAGAAATGAGTTCTATGAGAAATGGAGTGACTGTCCAGAGGGTGACGGAGTCTTTGCACACTATGCTCCAGTCGGACACGAATACGAACGTCTAGTAGTGAGGAAAGCACTCTGGGGTAGAGTGAAAGGGGCTTCACAAAGTAAAAAGTGTGCAGAAGAGAATAAACAGGTCTTGAAATCAGACACAGAAGGATGTTCTAGTAGAGAGAACCTGGCGCCAGGGAAGCAGATTTACGTTGGTTGTAATTAGCTGGTTTCTCCTCACAAAAAGGTCTTGCAGATGCTCCATGAAGAAAGATTGGAAACCTATTACTTGCTGGGCTGGGTACCCCTTCCCCAAAGGATTCGTAAAGGCAGAGAATATCCAAGATAGCCTAATACTTCATGGGATTTAAGAAGCAAGGAAAGAAGCCAGAGTTGAAGACTTAAGAGACACCCCCTTTCTTCTAGCACCCTGCTCAGGGTCCCCACGGCAAACCTAAACAATACAGTGGCTCAGAGTGCAGGAATCGCTCCTTCTCTTGCAAAAGACCTCAGTCAGTAAAGTGGCTCCCTACATGTTCACCAAGAACCTCCTTTATTTATATTTCTGCCTGGATCCTATGTTTAGAAATATTTCATATATAAACTGTACTCATTTAATAGTTACTTTCCAATTTTTTAAAAGTTACTCAGAATCATATATACGTACTGCCAGTCAGATATGACGCCTACCAGAATCAAACTTTGGTTTTAGGTAGGCTGAGCGTCCTCCTGGAGGTAAAATCTGCAGGAGATTTGCAGTTACACAGAAGAATATGGTCCCCCCGAGCTCCTAGTCTGTGCCACATATTGCGCCAGGCCCTCCTTGGGAGACACAAAGATGAACAGGAGACAACCTCTGCCCTCTGGGAAACAACTGTTGTTTGGGAAACGTAATATAAGTTTTATATAAGATACCAGCCGATATCACAGCCCTACTTTGCAGAAGTGGCACCCTCAGGGCTGCGCAAACCAAACACGAGAAACTAATCCGGAAAAGCTCACGAAGTTCCGGGAGAAAAACAGTCAATTGATGAGAAATGTCTGTAGTAATTAAATAACAAAAATTTTACAGGTTCTCAGGCCACCTGAGCAGCCAGTCGTGAGAGGGCCATGAGGTGAAGAGCTTTATCTACATGCTCCAGTCTCTAGCAGGTATGCTGGGAAAGACACTACTTCAGCCTTTTTAGAAAAGTACAAACTGAGTTTCTTTAAGAATTCTTGGGGTTTTACCCTCTACAAAACCATTGGAGGATCAAACATGTATTGCTTCTTCCAAACCTTCGAGCTGTGTCTCAGAGCTGAACTGTGGCATAGTGGGAGAGAAGCCACCGCCATCTCCACCTCAGTCCGGCTCTCCAGAACAACCTGGGTCTTGAGAAAACCACATCTGCCCTCGGGAGCAAAGTCTGACCAGCAGTCCTACTGATCTCCCACCTCTGGGGATAAAATGCTTTTGAGTCAGTGAAGCTCTTTGTGCAGTGGTCTGCGGAGGGCGTTGGGTCTATTCCCTGCCATTTCCACAACTCAGGCAAGTTCCTCCGTTCTCTGCACCTCTCTCCTCCACCTGTCAAGCGGAGGAGCCACAGTCTCTCCCTCCTTGTCTGCCTTTCCCAACGGTCTGATAGGAATTAACAGAGATCTTGATAACCTTGCTGAAAAGCTGCGTGTGAACAAAGCAATCTGGTTTTTCATTCCTTTTCCAGTAAACAGTTCCATTTTCTTCAAGTTATTTTTTCTTTTGATGACTATTTTTTCTTTATATAGACCTTGATATTTTCAAAAGCCTTGGCAATGGGTAATTATTTAGGTAATTACGAGAGACTACTTATTTTCAATCTTGCCCACCAAAATAGTAGCTGAGACCTAGCCATTCTGTGTATAATTACTTTTGCACTTAATAATCTGCCTTAATTGAGACCCCACCTGATTTAAAATATCAGAATTACACTCTTTGTGACTGATTTTCCTTTTTTCTCTAACACCTCATTTTACTTCATCACTCCCAACAGAGAGAGGGAGAGAAAAAAAAGGCACATGGAAAGGATTCGGGGAACAGCCTAAAAGAATTGAAAATGTGACACAAACAAACTCAGAAAAACACACAAACGAAGGAGGCTTTTATCTCGGGGGGTGGGGGTTGTGAAAAAAACAAGGCCCTAGTAATCCCCATGTTTTATCTTCCCTGCAATCTGCTCCTGATCCAAACATCCTTTTCTGATTTCCACCATCAGTCACACCCCCACCCTGCCCCTAATCAGCAGCTTTGAAGTCCAGATCTCCTGAGCCCTTGCCAGACACCAATCCGGGAGCTGCCCAGCAGCATCTGTCACACAGCCCCCACACCCTTGAGTGTCAGCTACAACAGAAATTGTCTAGCACTGTCACACTACCACACACACACTTACACTTGTGTGCATGTCTGTATGTGTCTGAGAAACAATGCTGAAGGGTCCTTGCAGGGTTTCCATACAAAGATGTGTGAGAAAGAGACACAGCGCTACACATGCACATGTCATCCAAGCTCAGGGGTAATAATGTGCACCATGAGGAGCCTGTACAGGGGAGGAGGAGGAGGCAGAGAGAGCGGAGGGAGCGAAGCTGCTGATGTTAATCCACGGCTAGCCACAGAGGGGTACAGGCAGTTACAGGCTGGGCATGGGTCCTGACAGATTCTGCTGGCCAGTTCTGGTGTGGCTGTCGCACAAAGAAACAGCAGACTAATCAACATTTAATTTAATTGTGGAATCTCACCTTCTCCCAAGGATGGTTTAAGGCACGCAAGAATAGAGGCAGGTGTGTGTGAGTGTCTGAGACAAACACTGAGGAGCATTTTTTCTGTGCACACCACTTAGGTCCTTATCCATCCCTGGATTGACAGTGGAGAAAATGTACCCTCACTGAACTGAGCCTTCCTGGGACATGCATGGAAGCGAGTGGCCCCTTTTCCCTCCCAGCCATTTTCCCTGGGATTCTGTCACTAGGACCCCACAGCAGTGGCCCATCTCAGTGCCACCATCAAGCAAAGACTGCTCCTCCTCTCAAGTAGAGACCCTTCACAAGTTTCTCCTTCACTCACAAACATGCACACAATGTGCCCATGTCTTTGTGGGTTAACTGCCTGGGAAGTGCCTAGTAGCCAGGGGCCCATGTACACTCCTACATACACATGCACACATGTTATACTCCTGGGTGTCCACTGGAAGTGGAGTCACTTAAGGTTATCTGATAAGCCCACATGTATACACACACATACACACTCATCCCAGTACCTCTCTCCACCAACACCAATTACCAATCACACCTTAACATGTGTACTCACGTCCATCCTCTCCCCTCCGCTATGCCGGCTGCCTGGAGAAGCTGTTCAGCTGTGTCCTTATTTGACCCACCCTTGCAAACAGCTCTTCTCCCTACCCCTATTCTGTGGTGGTGGCCTGTCTCATAGGCTGTCACATACCTCATGCCTACCCCCACGCACACACCTAAATCTCGTGTCTGCCACTCGGAAGCTGTTCAGCAGGTCTGTCTCTTTCTTTCTCACAAGCACATCCATTTCACATCTGCCCACCACCCCCAAGCGTGTCATCACCCGGAAACATCCCCATGCCCTTGTGTAGCTGCTGAATGGAAACCACATCTCAGGGGTCTCTCATGCACCTCCCCGCGTGTCAGCTGCGCAGGAGCTATCCAGCAGTGTCACTGTCACAGAGACCTTCCCGGTGCTCCCAAACCTCTTTTTATCAGCTCCTAACAAAGTTGCCCAGCACAGTCTAGTACACGCATTCACAACGACACCGTCCCCTCCCCGTCCAGCAGCACCCCACACACATACACGCACCCCCACTGTCGCCGCAGCCGTGTGTAGACACTCTCTGGCAGTTTCCCCCTGGCAGCCGCAGACGCCCCACGCTCAGGTAGTGGCGCCACGAGACCTTTAAATGCTGTGTCCCCAGCCCTGTGTGCTGTCACGGGGGTTGGAGGGCAGGTCGCTCCCTCTCCCACCCGCGCTCCCCGCCCTCCCCGACGCCCCCAGTGCAGGGCCCCAGGGGCGTGTGCAGGCGCCGCGGCCACGCTCCTGGCTCACTCTCGTGTGTATGTGCGTGTGTGTCGCGCTCACGCGCACGGGACCGCTCACACCGGGGCACACGCGGCCGCCCCACGCCCCCTCGCCC